GGGGGGGTCTCTAAACATGAAGTTTCCCCATTACTTGCTTAACCTAACATTGTTTTAGTGTAGCTAACCTTTTTGTCTTATGTATATCCGAAGTCCCACCCGAAACAAACCAGAAATTATAACTCATATAATACTGGATCATTTAGCACTAATATAATTAAAATGACCGTTTTTGCAATGGTTCAACTTTAAACTGTAAAGCAGTTTTTTAAAAATCTGTTATTTTATAACTGCATTTAGTTTGATATACTTTGATTGGCTGACAGAGCTAATGTGACACAAATAATTAAAATAATTTCATTTTGTGTTCTTTCAAATTTTAATAGTGGCCAAGCAATTAAAGCAATAAGCCCCAATGCTTCGCGTCGTGCCTAACAATGCCCCTTAGCTGTTATAAATTCACTGTAAACCACGGCTTCACGGGGCTTATTGCTTTTATAAAATGGTTATTCCATATATGTAGTAGGGTTTCACAAAATAAAACAGAGCAAATAAAGTGTAATGATATTAATAAAAACAGTATTCTTCCACCAAACAATGTAGTTCCTCAGAAACAGTTGTGGTTGCAATAAAGTGGTTGCCAAGCAACGCACAGAAGTAAACGAAGGGGTATGTTTGTAGAGTAATTTACAACAGCTTTGAACGTGGCTCAACCAATCAGAATCAAGGATCTGAACTTTCCGTTTTATAATAAAACTTTTGTTGTGGGCCATGTGAATTTTAGTGATGGCCCCAAAAAAATGAATAAAGAGGTCTACCTATGTCCAGGTTTACCTGGTTTGAAATCTCAGTTCTAAGTCACGTCGGATGAAAATAAATGGCTAGATAACAAGACAAATATTTGTTGTGAAAATTCAGCATGATAAACATTTTAATTTGAATGAACGACTGTTAATGCACCTGTTCAGACAGACACAAACATTTGCATGCCATTTATGTGACAGCTTTTTTTTTTTTTTTATACAGAAGAGTTCTTATCTCTTATCTATTGCACTGCAAAGAAAACTAACCAACCATCAAGTTAGCTCTTTTCTATAAGCGCCACCTACTGTCAGAGAGTGATTTCACCTTTTCATTCAGCTTGTCTGCCATTTTTTATGCCTACATGTGTCAGATGGTGTGCAGGTGCAGATAAAACATCAGATTCAGAAAATGCAAATATGGGGTCTAAGTGTCAGTGTGTCACCTGAGTTAGTATGTAGTTTCTCTGAGCTTCTTCCACCGAGATCAGGCTGGCATTGATGTAGTCATTACTGCCGATCTGTAGACGAATACGGCTGTGGTCAACTGTGAAAAAAGAGAGCGATTAAGCTGTGAGGCGCATCACCCATGATGCTTTGCATGTTCAGTGGTGGAACGACTCTTTTTCAGGTCCTGTTCTCAGTTCCCCACAAGAGAGAAAAACATCTCCCTGATGAAAACGCTCAATTGAAACAGATAAAACACAGTGTCATTCATTTAATGTGGTGTTTTGTGAGCTGAGGACCTTTTCAGGTTGTTGTGGAAAAAAAAAAAACTCAGAGAGAGAGGAAACCACAACAGCTCTTTAAAGTCTTTGTGGCGGAAGAGTTAAAAAAGGGAGAGAAAAAAAGACATGACATCTTCAGTGTGAAATGACTTTAACAGCTCGCTGATAACAGGCCCCTTCCGTTAGGTGTCACTGACTGTGTCAAACAGGGGAAGCAGCACACTTACACGGACTGACGTCTCTGTAGCGATTACGACTTCTGTTTTCTGGAAGTTTGGCGATCTTGCATGGTAGGTCACTGGACTGCTGCTTAATCTCCTACGGTAAAACAGAAGTCTATGAGATGAAAATGCTTCTTACTGTAAGTGAAACAAATGTGTGACAAATGGTTTGCTGGGGGAAACTATATGGCACACAGTTATGGGGACCACCAGCATCCAGTTAACGATGCCATTCGTCCATCACTGTCATTAAAAACTGCAAGTGAACCAGATTAGTAAAAAAAAAAAAAAAAAGTGTCAAACTAACTAATAATAGACTTCCTCTCATAAAAGGTGAACTCATCCCCCTCATCTCTATATTGGTCACTGTTTACAAATGACAAATTCAGGTCATCTCTATGTAACTTGTTGTATCATTTATTCTGCGAGTTAGGGAAAAAGCAGCGCAATCTGAATTGTCAAAAAAATAAACATCACATCAAAAAAAGGGAAAAAAAAACTTCTTTTGGACCGTTATGAATATTTAGAACATCATAATCAAGTATGGAGCACAATCAGTCATTTAACGTTACCTGGTAAACGGCGTTCCAGTTCCCGAGCTCATCGATTTCCCGAAACTCGGTTTCCATTGCCGCGTGTGTTCCGCGTCGTTCGATAGATGACCCCTTGACAATACAATTAGTTATAAAGTTTATGTAGAATCACATGGAAAAAAAAATACTTTTAAAATCTGCTTTAATTTTCTAACAGAACGTCTCTAATGGTACTGTTGTGTCGCTCTTACCGGAAACACGCTGCTCGCTCCTCCCGTAGCACTGTCCGTCTTGATTACGCCCCTCTTTCCTCACATTGACCAATGAAATTCCGTGAGTGGCCATAAACTCCTGGCAAAGGCCAATCAGCGCAACGTAGTGGGGCATGGCAACCCCTTCGGCCAATCATATTACGGAGCGTTACCTCTTTATTATTCTGGGCTTTGTAGTTTTTTGTAGTTCGAAGAGTTTACACAATACGCATGTGTGTATTGAGGTTTAGAAACGTGTATGAAGTAATATGGCTCATATATATATATTTTAAACTTTGCAGTTTTAAGAGTGGAATCAAATAATAACATGTTCTTATATCTTCGTCAGCAGCATTTAAAGTAAATGTGATATTTTGTACATCTACTTGTGAATTTAGGCTAACTTATTGTATTTTGGTAATATTTATTATTTTTTGTATTTTGAGGGCATTTCATTGTACTAGACAATATTCACCTTTTAGGTACAACACATTTTAATTTAATCATTACGTTTTTTATTTACCTGTATGTAAGCACAGTGCAGTGTTAATGTTCAAACTGTGTATGTACAATGTTAAAGTGGCTGACAACAATAAATATTCTTATTAGGAATAAAACTGCCTCGTTCTTGAACTGTGCAGAGCTGTAGCTGAATAATTAGGCCAACTACACTACTGTATTGTTGGTCATTATGGTGGTACTTGGAGATCCTAGGATCTTTGGAAAACGCAGTTTTACACTTGCCAAAAAGTGATTACAGACTCTACTTATTGAGTGAACTGTTCTTTCTGACTCAAAATGACTTGATTTCATTCATGGTTGTTATATTTGATAGATTATAGCTCATTCAGTCCTTTTTACCTGTTGAAATACCTTTAAATGGCCAATAAAACCCATATAACGCAGTTTTACACTTGCCAAAAAGTGATTACAGGTGCCAATCAATTTTCGGCACACCAGTACCACGTGTTCTTCCCTCTCTGACAGAGACGTGCCCACACTGTCTCCGCGAGCTGACATAGCGTAATGTATATCAGACTGTTTTAATCTGTGTCAATTAATTCATTTGTCTTATAATTTTCTAGTGAACTGAACCGCCTGGTTCTACAGGTTTCATAGACGCATAGCGACCAGACGGCAAGCAGCAGCTGCTGGTAAACTCCCATGAACTGATCTCACAGCCTGTCCAGCCAGGCAACGTATGAACACCGAGCTCTTATATTATTAACTCTTAGTCGGTAATATTAATCTGTGAAATGTGGTAAAGTAACTGTATGTTTTTGAAATTAATAATCAAATGAAAACATAAGGAAGTGCATTAGCATTCAGGCTAGTGTCATCATCAGGTTTGACTAAACTGATTCAGTTCAGTCATATAACAGCGATGTTACACGTCGTATAATAATACAAACACAGAACGTTTAGCAGAACATTGCTCGACGTGAGAATTCGTAAATGTTTTTTAATGGTTTAATTATTTGTTTGGTTGGTTAGCCTGTAAACACGCTAAGTTAACAGGATGTAAACCTTTAACACCATGGAAACTGGAGCAGCCAGCCTGACCAGATCTGAGCAGAAAAACAACTGATCATATTATGACAGATTGCACGAACACAATTCAAGTTAAAACAGATATGTTTAATCTAGTTTACATTTAATCAAATCAGTATCAGAAATTAGCTTAAGGGGCCCTTTGGAATTTATTTTAGGGGCTTTTACATTTGCATTACATTACATTTAGTCATTTAGCAGACGCTTTTATCCAAAGCGACTTACAAATCAGGACAATAGAAGCAATCAAAACTAACAAAAGAGCAGCAATATGTAAGTGCAAATGACAAGTCTCGGTCAGCCTAACGCAGTAGCAGCTTTTGCACATCATGCCGTTAGTTTCTGACAACACTTAAAGTGAATCAATTATTATTAATCAATCAATTAGATATGCCAAGAATGGAATATTATGAAATCCATGATAAGTCTTGACCACATGGCCAATGTTTTTAACAGCAGTGTGTTAATCTGTACTTTTTATGCATCCTCATCAGGCCCAGATTGTGAACTGTGGAACAAGGTGTAAACTCTGGGGAGTTTTAGGTTTGTCTCCCCATGACAACGTGTCACCATGGTGACTGCGGCTCCAGCAGTGATGCCGAGCGGTGCACCTCTGATGATGAGGACGCAGAGCTTGCAGAGATTGGGCCGTTGCTGACAAATACAGCTGAAGCTGAGAAATCAAGAGTGAGTTGTGAGGGAAAAATAAAACACAATACCGTTTGGGGTCAGTAGTAGTATTTTTATTTGAAGAAATTAATAATTTTATTTGCGAAGATGCATTAAATTGTTTAGAGGTTACAGTAAACATTTATAAAGTTCCAAAATGTTTATATTTCAAATAAATTCTGTTCTTTTGAACTTTCTATTCATCAAAGAATCTGAAAAATCAGCTTTGTTATTACTGGAATAAATAGTATTTTAAAATGTATTCAAATGGAAAAGAGTTATTTCAAAAAAGTGTATTTTTACTGTATTTTTAATCATATAAATGCAGTCCTGCTAAGACCCCAAGCTTTTAAATGGTAATGTACATATAATAGCTGGAGTGAGGAAAGAACAACTAAACTTACTTAACTAAAAGCTAAAAGATAATTAGAAGCATGATTGTTGTTGCAGGGTGCGTCAGCATTTCCTGATGAGGATGAGGATGAAGGAGGTTTGCGGGTGGCTGCACTGCCCATGCAGGCACACCATGCCATGGAGAAGATGGAGGAGTTTGTGCACAAGGTAACAGATGTTTATCCTTAACTGTCCTGGAACCAGTGGTGTATAAAGTACCTGAATAGGTCACGATAACAACTTTATGTTGTGCGATATATTGCCCCAGAAATAATTGCGATAAGCGATATTATTGTCATTTTAAAGACTATTTTATGCCACTGAATATATAATCATAATATAACAGTATAATAATGCAAGAAGGCCTACACACTTCCAAAATAATGTTTTGTTTTTAACATAAAACGTTGAATACTGTTATTTTAAATGATTTTAAAACATAAAAAAACAGTCTATAAATGTGAAATTAAAACCGCCAAATGACAGCAAGTGACTGTTGATGAGTGAGTCTGTAATGTGGTGTTTGGGTTTTGTCTTGTTCATGTTTCCATGTCTTTTATTTTGTAATTGTTTTATGCGGTTTGTGTCATACTTCCCTTGCCTTCATGTATCTCAGCCTTGTGTATGTGTCATGTTCTGATTGGTTGTTTTAGTCATGTGTCTTGGAAAGCCATACTCAAGTAAAAGTACAGATATTCTACCAGAAAATTACTTTGGTAGAAGTTGAAGTCACCGTTTAGAATATTACTTGAGTAAAAGTCTTAAAGTATGTAATATATATTGTACTTAAGTACGAAAAGTATTTTTTAAATCTTAAACGTACTTAAGTATTGAAAGTAAAAGTACAAGTAAATGCAAAATGGAAAAGAAGCAA